AGCTCAAACTGACCCCATTCACGTTTTTGAAATTCAAGCACTCTTATGGTTAGGTGCCAACTCCTTCAGGAATCCTCCTCTTACCTTGGCTTTCTCATGTCGATCTCATGGATTTATTTTATTTCGTCAGAAATCGTTAACGTCGTGACAATGTTTGGTGTCATCTCCCAGATTTCTCATGAGGTGAGCTCATCCTTTGGCATCTGCCACTTCAGTAAAGACAAATGCGATGATGATCTCTAAAGACGATGTGGTTCGGCTGTCGGTTGGCAATGGTCCTGACCGACAAATGTGGGATCTAAACCCACTTCTAGTGATCTAGAGGCTTTCATTCGCTACCGTATAAAACTTCAGAACTCCAGCATCATGTGTTGTCCAGATTACCTTTGCGGTGGTCCTGAACAAAAGTCAACGGCCAAAGGTGCAAGAAATATTGAACGCCTACCATTCGACCTCTGGGGTTTGAGCGCCGATTTATCATTTAGAGATCAAGCGTGTGCTATCTTCCTAATCTGATGGCGTCAGTAGCTGGCGGAGTGATTTATCGCACGAATTAGCACACTGATAACTCATCTAAGCGCAAACAGTAAAAGACCAAACTTTGAATAATGATGGTGCCACAAAAAACGATCAGCAATGATCTTACCAGACACAGGTGAGTCATGTGATGGGCAAGTGGGGTAGTAAATTACCACATGTATACTGCGGGCGGATCAGCTCCGTTTACGTCAACCAGACATTTAATTTCCATGGTCGTTGAATTCACAAGGATTTCACACGGGAACAAACCACGCGAAGCAAGTTCGCTGCTTATCAAAGGTGTTGCTGTCTAGAATGAACCTCGAACGGTGTGCTGGAAATTTTCTGGGAAAACTGGGGGAAGTCTGTCTGCAGTCTGGAATTTGGGAAAGTTCAGAAGATGGTAGGTAGGATGAAGGAAAGGAGGAAGAAGTTTTGGAGAAGTCGTCTGACACCGACATTTCTCCCACTGTTTGTGAAGCAGGGTACAGCATTGTTGTGTGAAACCACCATAGGGGGAAGGGCGAACTTTCTCTCTTGGGAGGGGGTGGGTCGTATTGGGTAAAAAAAACTGGAAAATGGGGGAAATTTGTAGGTAGGTGTTGGGGAGGGGGAGGTCGTACCGAGACCCTCATTTAAGTGGCGGGAGGGGTCGTACTGACACCCTCTCTCCCGGAGTGGGGATTCCTACTTACACCGCTCACACATCACGATGCTGTACCCTGTTGGGGAAGACTACAGCGCCTTTAGGTCTATTCCTCGAGCCACGCCTTAGCTTTCAGAGTAGGCAGTCTCAACGCCACTCTGTCTGCACTCTAGATCAGCGCCTTCGCTGGGGAGAGGAGAGGGGCTAAAAGACGCTGTGGAGTATTCCCCAATCCGTTAGCAGCGAATTGCTCAAGTATTTATTTTATATTGTTTCGCGAGACTACCACTCTGCTGACAAGCTTATGGGCTCTCATTTTTTAGTATTTCTTCAGAGGGCGCCCTTCAGGTGGCATTAATTAGCGTTAGGTAGCGCTCACATGTCGCGATGACGCGCGTCGACGCGCTACCACTTAACGTCGCTTCCAATGCTATAGACGGGAAGGCATCGATTGGTGCCGGTCATTTGGTTTCAGAGAGCATAGGAGAATAGGAGCGCACCAGACTGTGGAAGGCAGCGCCACCAGTTAGCGCGTCGACGCGCGTCATCGCGAACTCTGAACGTCACCTTACAAAGCATGCGAAATTTCGCAGAACTTATTGCGCTCACTTTTAGGTACTCGGTTTGACGATTTTGGCATGGAGTAATAGTATTGGTGATCTGATCGCTGATATCGCTGTTGTAAAACAAGGGTATCCACGAATGGCCATATCCGCATCGATAGGTGGACCACTTTTCAGTGAGTTTCTGCTTTTCCAATGCTTAGTACCTCAGCTTTTACTATATCTTCAGATTTACTGATTGGTTTCGGACTACCGTTTCTCATTGCCAAAGCCAAAGGAAGGACAGTGACGGTGAGTGCACCTGAACTACACTCCTTATCCCTGAGCCAGAGTAGGCGTGGCATTTGAACATGGCACGGAACTGGTTACTCGTGGAATATTCCAGTCTGGGACAACTTGTTCTGTGTTGGACAGAGACACGACAACAATTGTGTCAAGATGAAAATATCTCACCAGAAGCATAGACTCCTTCAGGTTAACTTGAAGCATGCAGCCACGCCCACCCAATCTCAGAGATTTCGAGTATATCTCGATGTCACCTCTGCGACCCAGATATGATTTTCTCGTTGAGGGTTACACATCTATACGATGTACAATATTCTGTTAAACTTGGCCCACAGAATCGACCATCAACCTTATTTTGCGGTCTTGAAAGGTTTTCAAGTGCTATTTTTCAGATAGACTTCAATCCAACGTACAAAATGCTCGTGCTCTTTCTTGGCATCTCATTGACGACTACCTTAATTGGTAAGCTTCTCAGAGCGTGAAGTTCATTTCACTGAAGGAAAACCATGGAAAAACGTCGGTCCGAGCGACCTCTTCCCAACTTTCCCTCTGGGGCCCTCGCGGCTTGAGAGTGATAGCTCGTCACGACCAATTGCCTGGAACCATCTACAACACCAGTACTTATATAAGCAGGCTTCTTGCGAAGCAACCTGTGCGGTGGGACTGGAACGCCGGCCCCACTTGATCATAGCTCACCTACATTAAAGCGGGGGCGTTCACGAATTAAGCCACGCCGCCACCTCTACACGCGGGGGTCTCCCTGAGTCGGACGAAACAAGACCATCCTCTGGGCGGTCGACTCCGGTTGCGGGGGGGTCGGGGACAGCGGTGGGATTATGAAACACACTTAATGAGGTGGAAAACCGTGAAGTAACAAACAACCAAAAGTGCTTCGTGGCTCGGAAAAATCCTGCTTAAACCGCGAACAAGTATCCTCCTTCCCCACTCCCTTGGTTGGATTGTAACAAAATGGGTCGAGTGGGTACGTTAGCACGAACTGGGGAGAAGATCGTTACCCCATCAACTGCGGGAGACGGACAGGACAATCTAGCGGTCGCGCGCGGTGTGGCGGAACGTGGCAAAACCTGAGCGCATCAATTTGTCGAACAGGCAAGCGATTCAGAATTTCCCAGTCCTTATAACATTCTAATTCAAGTGGTCCGGCAGGACTTCTCGTCTGTCGGACGCGGCGCCGCTACCACGCCACCCAAGCGCTGCATAGTACGATTGTCTGTATTTAACGCGTACGTAACTTTCTTGAGCTTTTGTGCATGGTCCCGCTACGAAACCCTGTGACGCAGACGGATAGAGGGCAGCGGCTGCCAAAGCATCGAAATGTACAAAAAACGTATGGCGAGCCGGGACACGGGATTTTTCAAGGGGAGACTCCGGGTGTGTGAGCTAACCTTATAAGCCGTGAAAAGCTGGAGTGAGCGAATTCACCAAGGCCATAGAGTGCCATGACGAAGAGAGAGTGCAGAGAAAAAGAGAAGATCGACGCGTGATTGCAGTTCAAGTTGGCCGTAGGTTGTCATTTTACCACAACCACCGTATTATTGATCACTTTTATCGATTACTTTGGCTCGTCCAAAAGTAAGTGCTGGCTGTTTTAGCGTGTTTTGTGCAACGATTCTACTTGCGACGACCACACGGTTTCGTGCTGATACTCATCTATCTCGTTTTTATCACCATGATCATTCTCACCGAAACTAAAGTTGTCGTTTGGAATTGAAGAGGAAGGCGAGGGATATTAGTGAACTGCCAACTAGGTTGACCAAAGTATAGTTGACAACGTCAAAGTAGTTAGGGGCCAGCGGACCAGAGGGGCCACGCCCATTTCTTGCGCATTTGCTGCTTCACTTAGCAGCGCACTATTTCGTTGAGATAGCGTAGACGAGCAGAAATGGGGCTTGGCGTAGTCCTACTGGCGACTGCCCCCGTCGAACTACCAATTGACTTTGTGAACGCTCCAATGTGTCCTTATTGAATATTGTACATTGCTCATAACTGAAGGAAGAATCATGCGGGTATTGTTTTTTTTTGTTATTCATATGGATTGTGATAATAAATATGCCACGATTTTCATGTTCAAAACTTGGACCGGTTTCCAGTATTCTCCTAAAGCATACGATATTTAATTACATAAGGTATTTTTAAAATGACAAAATTTGAATGCGTTTTCCAATGACACTCTGACGATTATCTAGTCAGGACTATCATTCGGGTGTTGCCGCGGCAAGGCGATGTATTCGCCTAACTAGGGGACTCGCTACAACTTTGGGGTCCCCAGCGAGGGAGGCAGGGTCCTATTGGTGCTGGAGGGGGGGGGGATCGCATTCTTTTGAGGGTTGACTTTCTCCGCTCTTGTTTCGTGTGCTCTACCCCCACCTCTCCCAACGCTGTGGGGGTGGCGGCTTTTTTTGAGAGAGATTGGAAGATGGTCAGTGAATGGAAGGGGAATGAGATAATGGCGAGGCGAGGCAGGAAAGAATTTTGAGTAGCCATCGTCTTTCTGCCAACATTAGCCCGAACGGAGGTCGTACCCTAACCATTCAGCACTTCTTCCATCCTGGGCTTAGGTTACGTAAAAATTGTCACCTACATAGCGGCAATCCCAGCTTGACCGGAACATTCCTTGCTCCCGAGTGCGCTTGCCTCCCTTCCTCCCTACCCTCGCGCGCCATTACGACCACCTTATTATGTTATCCACTTAAAGTTCTGTAATAAAGGAAAATTGTTGAAGTCGACGTGGTTCGGGAGCCGGCCTTAGAATAGGTACTCTGAAACTCTGAAGGTTCTTCCCGAAAAGAGTCAGTACTGATAATTGATCACCTCCTGTACATTGCGCCAGACTGTTTCCTTGTCCTAACCTCTTTCCTTAAGTAATTCCCATAATAAGAGGAGTTATATTTAGCCAGGTACAACTCCTGATTGAGTTCCTGGTTGCAACTGATAGAAATCTGTACGACAAATCTCCATGACAACCCTTTACAACTGAACGCCAATAACAAAGCGAATGTCTTCTAATGCTGCAATGTCGACAGGACCTCTGATGTACTGACTATACCTACTGTCGAGTCCTTATCACTGATAACCGGTAATGGAAAAAGAATCGTGTTCTAATCCAAGCGGCAGCGCTCTTCGTGCCACCTGCGAAGTTGACTATCCTTATTTTCCCTTTCGCATTCCTGTCGACTACGTCCTCGTGTCCAGGACTGACAATCTCAGCCGGCAGTATCAAAGGACCCTTTTCGAGCAGGTAAGAAAGCGTATTGTCTGATATCTGTCTTTGGAACTTGAATAATATATACCCATGTGGGAATATACAGCTACGGGACCGGGAGAAGGATTGTGTTTAGACGACTTGTTCTTTCCAAATTTTCTCCTGCTAGTCTTCCTCACGTTACTTACCTAACATCTTACCAACTTCTCCCAAATTTTCTACAAGACAGAAGGTGAGTGGCCCGAGCCGCCGCAGCGTGCCGGCGAGGGGAGCCATACACCCCTGACCCGATCAACTGTCAGACATTAATAGTTTTGCCCCTACCACGCTAGGGGTAATCGGAGCCACCTGCCGCTTGGTTTCGAGCAATGCACGTCTTTTGGCTGGGGAACAATACGATCTCCCCCCCCTAGTTTTCCTCCTTTGCTAGGACCCTTCTTTCCCGCCCTACCATCTTATTGACTTTTCCTGATCAACTTTCTATCTCTTTTTTACCTTCCTACTTTTTTTACAGTCTTCAAGAATTCCCCCTCCAGAAAAACTGCCCTGCGGACATGTGGGAGAAGGCGTTTTTGGTGCACACGCAAAACGGCGCAACAAGCGGCGGCCAGGAAAGTGCTTTTCTCCTGAAATTCTATGTATGAGAAGGAAAAACTCTCCTAAAACCGGGTACGACCCCCCCCGTCTCAAAGTGACGAGCAACTCGTCGCTGGAGAGTATTAAATGAGCCCCTTCGATTTGAAGGGCGTAAGAAGCAACGAGGATAAATCGATGTTAAAAAAATTTTTCGCTCCTCTTCTGTACACGTACTCCATACAAATGAGTCCCTATCCCTATCCTGTTTCTCTCAAAAGGGTTATCGAGTGAGGGGGAGGGAGATTCCCGACATCAAATCCTGACGTTGTACTCTCATGGCTAATCGAGTAATTGTCCCCTCACTATTATCTTCCAGGCTGCTCGTAAAGAGGGCCTCATCATCAATCATGAGTACGCGGGTCCAGTCTGTTTCACACTTATCAGTACGCCATTTCAACGACTCTGTCGAGAAGCCGAGAAACTGCAATTGTCGTTTCCTCTTAGAGATGTGAGTACTGTTTTCTTCGAAGGTTCTTTTATTATTAGAACCGAACAGTGACCGCCTGGGCGATCTTTCAGTAAAGATGGGCATAGGGCTGGAAAGTACGATCTTCCAGATCAATATGCATGTCTTCTTCAGTGAGGAAACCCCCATTCGCAATGACGCGAGGTATGAACGGGTTACGTGACAACTAAAACTTTTGGTGGGGGGTTCTGCCACGATAGGCCAGAGCGCAGAGCCATAAGAAACTGCTTGACCTGACACTTAAGGCATCGTGAGGCACAAAAAGCACAATCGAGCCAGGAAGTGATCCGTGTTTCGAGGGGAAGGGACGACGGGATGGATGAGCCACTTAGTATGCGTGAAAAGCTGGAATGTGAAAGGTAAAAAAGCAATAAATCGCCATTCAGGAAAGAGAGCGCAGAGAAAATCAGAGAGTTGCGCCATTAAAGGAATTGAGTTTTAGTTGTCCGTAGACCGTATGAACGCGCCTTATCGGTCACCAGATGCGCATTTAGAATAAAAAACGATGAGAGGATTTACGAGCGCAGTCCTAATTCATGCCATCTCCAGACCTGTAACAATGAGTATGGAGCAGCGTCGCCAACGCTTTCCTCAAGGCCGTTAGGTATGAGTTCGGTCTGCGAATTGCAATGTTACCGTTAGATCCATGACGGAGAACGATCGATGCGATTACTTGGTTTGACTTCACGATATTTGCAGTGCCCAGTGAATCCAGCTGCTCCGGCGTGTTGTATCACTCTTTCCAACGCATTCATCACCGATGATACGGGTAAGTAGACGTTCGCAAGTCGCTTCTATAAACTAGGAGTACTGAAAACCAACAAAACAATGTTCCGCTGGCACTGTATCCAACCCTTAGCTACTGGACTCATTCCCTATTTTATGATATCAATAGGATCTTGTCCCGACAGTAGATCACTGAAAGGCGGATTACTGAACCGCCACCCCTCGGAGTAGCTCACGACCCGAATCTGCGGGCCATGGTCTCGCCTCGTGCCTGCCCCAGGCGCCAGTGTCGTACCTGTGGGATCGTATGCTAAGTTGCTTGGCCAGACCGTGGAGGGGAGTCATATCGGAAGAGCTAAACTGAGAAGGGAAAGAATTGTCAATATCAGCAAACACTCCCTTCACGACGTCAGACAAATCCTTGCTCCCTAACTACAATACGCTATTGACTTCATACCCATGCAGAAGTCTCGGGCTGTCTCGCCTCAAATTGCCTTCTCATCTAACGTATCTGGGACGGGTAGAGCACTCGACCGCGCTTCTCCACCTCTTTCCTTGATCAAGGCTTAGGCTCGCTTTGCTGGTAGCGAGCACTGTTGTTTTTTAATTATTTTTTTTTTCTATAAGGATTAATCCGCGCATAGAATAGTCGATAAATATTATTCAGTCTGGTCCATTTTGCTTTTTGGAAAAGTGCAGATAGAACCACTAATAGTAAATTTTCTCAAAGTTCATTTGAAGTTTGGCACTTCATAAGGCTTTCGAGAAAGAGCTCAAACTGGTTACCATGAAGATTCACATTGCAGTGGACTACATTAGTGCACCATTCACTCGACGGCACGGCGAACTCTTTCTCAACTACACTAATGAGAAGCTATTTTTCACTTCAGCACAACGTTGTGAGCTGACACATGAGGTAAGCGCTTCGGAACTCTGCAACTTATGAGGGTTTCGAGTAGGTTGGCAATTCCCTGCAGTATCAGCTACAAATTTTCTTGAGGGAATGGGTCGTGCCTATATGAGCTGCAGCTTCCCCAGCTCTGTAGAAATAAGAATTACTGAGTAACAACTTGGAACTAGTCGCGGTGTTAGGAACTCTAAGGCATTCAAACGCCTTCATGTGCAAAGCTGGAATCCCCGTAATGAAGGTGGGGATTTTTGCGTAACTTCGATAGGGGAAACGACCTCCAGTGTGAGAGTGTTTTGTGTACTGTACTTCAGTCAGGTGACTATACTCTAATCTTTGCGCACGAATCTTGTGTCTCCCTCCCTCCCTATCCCGTTTACTAGTGGATGCCTCCCTCCCTCCCTACGTTTACTAGCGCCCTAGTCTCGTTTGTCCATTGATTAGGAACTGCAGCTTTTTCTGGATTGCAATCCCATCAGCGCAAAGGTGCATATTATTCATTTGCTCCTCAATTAAAACACACTGTGCACAATCCTATTGCTATGGAAACATGCAAGCAAATCTATATGTAAGAAATGAAGTAAAACTCACGGAAACAGAGAGACTCGCCATGGGCTATTGGAAGGAAGTTTTAGTCGACTCTCAGACAAAAGGAGTATTTGAGTCGCAACGAATGAGGGCCGCAAATGGCTTGATTGGATCTACATGTGTCAAAAGGTTCTCGAATATTAAGTGCTCCTGGTGTACCCCGAGCCCTGGTCGGCGCGTCCGTCTGGGATTCTTGAGAGGGAGGAGGTAGGAACGTACGCGAAGTTGGATTGAGAGGCCGTCCTTCACCGGCTCCCAAGGAATAGCTAATTTCCTGCGCAGGGGTTGATCTCTCCGAATTCTGCATATGGTATGAGTGCCACTCTCCTTTTAGCCCATGCCCTCCAAAAAATAAGTAATGATTAGGAAATTGGAAGCTTTATTGCAACCTGACTGTATTCTCAGATCCTCACACAAATCGATATTAGTCAAGAACTGGAGAAGACTGCACCACGCGACGCAGTCATCGAGACAGATTCCGAAAAGTCGGTGATAGCCGATGAACCGCTGAAGCGAAAGGTTTGCAGTATCTGCGGATGGAACACACTTACGAGGACTCCTTTATACTACACGAACCAAGCCAGGTACTGTAGTTGATCAAATGCAGTTGATTATTGCAGAAAAAAGCATCTTTCATACTTAACTAATGTTCCACAAATAGAATTTATTTATCGACTGGTATCACATTGACAAAAGTGTGCTGATTCGAATGGTGCCTATTTCGATTAAATCCGATGAGTATTAAAAAGTTACGATCGTTTAAAGTGAAACACCCAAAACGCTGAGAACTTTCCGGACAAACTAATAATTACGCCATCTCATAAAGACGTAGCATTTATTTCATTTTCTTATTTCTTGAGATATTTCTATCTGAGACGTGGTAGTGTCTCCGTCCAACAAGAAACAAGATGACAGTTGTCTTAAACTGGAATATCCCACGAACAACCCATTCGATGCTATGTTGAATGTCATGCCCACTCCGTCTTAGGAGCAGTGTATCTTCTCAATGATAATAGGTGATAACTGGTGGTTGGATTGA